TATGGGAAGTTGACAGAATATCTCCTGTCAACCTCCCGCAGTGGTACAACCTCAGAAATTTGGTTTAAGGTATGTCGACTCCAGCTACACAATTTTCATAGCTGGAGCTGTGTATCATAAACTGAATTTCTCGCCCAGTGCAGACCTGGCCTAAGATTCTCTCATTATTTTTTGGCTTCTAACTGCTGATATAATCCAACAAATGGATTAATTTGTATAAATATAAAACCATCTCTTCAGTTCTAATATAAAATGCACATTTTCAGTACCATTATCCATTAAAAAATACTAGCTCTCAGCCTTGTTATGATCATACTTTTGTACTCCTGCATTTGTAATGAAAACAATGATTCAAGACTAAACATTAGAGAGTTATGCAAATCAAACTTCTATAATTTCAGGGAGTACAGGTGAGGCACACTCACATAATAGATTTTTAATTTATTCCCAAATTCAGAATTTAGCAGCAGGGGTATTTTTTGCCCAATTTTTAATGCTTTCCTATCTATAATGAATAGTCTGCTTCCCAGCAGAGTTTGGAGCCCACAGCGTGAGAGGCTCCTCAACAGTGTGTGTAGATATGTAACCAAATCTTCTTAAAATTATCACCACTTAATCAGAAACTTTATAAAACCAATGAAAATCATTTAAAATCCTAGGGCCACATGGCATCTTTTAGGAGCTGATTTTCAAACCTCTGGCCTTGATCCACGAAAGTATATAAGCATATGCTTAATTTTACCCGTGAAGTGGATTTTATGGATATCACAAATGGAAGGTTAAATGGGACTGCTCATGTATTTCAAGTTAAGCATGTGGGTGTGCGCCTTACTGGATCAGTATCAAAGTACTGAGCACCTTACAGGCTTGGGCCTTTAGACCCTCCCACAGCAAAGTAGTTAACCATGTGAGCAGACACATTGGACTACTCCATTACATTTACACATGTGCTTAAAGTACCTTCTTGAAAAGGTCTTGTAGAGCAATGTTATATTAGCTATAAAATTTGAAGCCACATAAGATTAACAAACAGCTTGTTCAACAGTGTTATTTGTTGACATTAGCTGTTTCTTAAAGCTTAGGGATGCCTTGTTCTAAGAATTCACTTTTAGAGAGCACATAAGAAAAAGTCTTTAAAAGCTGAATATGAAAAGTGATATAACCAAGCCACATTATGTTCCTCATTTCTTCCTCTGACATCTTTTTACTGACATCTAGAAAGAACAGAAAAAACAGATAAACAAGCATCAATCTATTCAAATAAGAATCAATGCATTTTATTTTCTCTTTAAAATCATTCTATCCTGAACAACAGCAATAAAAACATGGGAAAACATCAGATACTTGAATCCAAGTTTAGCAAAGGCAGGTTAATCCAGCAGGAGGGGAAAAAAAGTAAAACCACATTTCTGTAACAGTGGTGCCATATTGTTCAGCTAACAAAGCAAGAAATGTCACAGCAACACTTCATAATGACCATTCTGCTACTGCTGGCCTTTCACTGTTACTATATTTAAAGCCTCATTTTGGTAAGGAACATTATTTTATATAACTGGCACAATATGCTTTTTATAATTTCCTACAGATTCATGTTAAGGAAGTTTCAAATATGCTAAATGTATTTTATTGTTTCCTAAAGGGAAAGGACATTTTTAAAAATTGTGGGTTTTTTTAAACTTGAAAGCTCTAATGCTTTTGGAAACAGCTTGGGCTTTTGTAACATATGAATTTCTGCTGGACCAAAGACAATCACTAATAAAATCACTATTGTTATAAGTTACTGCATGGCTGACAGCTGACATTGAGATGTGACACAGTAATGCAGAATGCATCTGTGCTCACAGGAAAAACTCCAGACTTGCCCTGGCAAGCAGGGATGAATGTAGAATTCATGTACAGAAAATTGGTGCACTAGATAAGAAGTTAAGATAGATACTTTCCATCTGTACCAGATGTTCTGTCTGTGACCTATCCCCCACCTATTCAGGAGTTAAATTGACCAGCCTTTTTAAGAGCAAAGTTCACAACTCATTTAACTCATGTAAGGCTTTGCTTTTAAAACTGTATTTCATTGGCATTCTGACTTTTAAAACTTCGTACTGTGAAACCCAGAGTCAGTGCTTGCTTTAGAAATCCATTCTCATGCTTCTTCCCTTTCCTGCATCTCTATCCTCAGATTCTTCAATAACCCTTCCAATCTTGGTGCTCTATTCAAGCTTTCCTCCTGACTATTTCTTTTCATTCACTCGCAACTCTGGGTTTTCTTCCTCACAGCCTTTTCAATGCTTGATGCAGACCTTCAAGTAACATAAATTAAACTCTGTCATTGTCTTCTAAAACATTTCTAAACCACCACAGACTGTGTGAAGCCTTTCAGTTATAACAGTCATAAAAGTTTGTTCCCTTCCCATAATACATTGTGCCAATTGGAACTCAAGGGTGGGATTTTCCTCAGGTACTCATAAGAACGGTCATACTGTGTCAGACCAAAGGTCCATATAGCCCAGTGTCTTCCACCAGGCTCTTATTACGTATAAAATGCAGCATCCCAGACCAGCGCTAGCAAGGACCCAGCAGCCAGGACCTGGCTTCTGCTGAGTCTAGCAGCCCCTGTTTGCTAAACACATGGCCCTGTCTGCCACGAACAGAAGCTGCTCTGGCATAAGCCTGGACCGGCGCAAACAGGGTCTGCTTGGCAGCTGTAGCCTCCCGTACCCCGCTGTTGCCTCTGATAGAGGCAGTAGGGGGAACCAACTTTTAAACTGGCTCTCCACAGCACTGGCTCCTGAAGGTAGGGGGAACCAACTTTTAAACTGGCTCTCCACAGCACTGGCTCCTGTTTCCCCCCATTGCTGAAACAGCAAGAGGAGGGGAGGGGGGAAGCGAGAGCAAGAAGTCAATATTCCACTCAACTACCCAATAAGCTTATGCTTATCAGATAGTCGACTAGTCATCTACGCACTAACATCCCTAATTAGGATAATGCAAAGTGGTTTTGAAAACATCATTCTTAAGACCATAGGACACAATTATTTATGTTTAAAACTCTTAACAATTCACAAGAACATTTCCTACCAGCTGCTCTTCAGTATTCCATATAGTGCTACAATGCTAGAAATCACTTACATTCCCAGGACAGAAAATCAGTACAACAAAAAGTGACAAGAGAAGTCTCAAAAGAAGCTTATATAGGAAGAACACAGATATGATGATATCTAGTCTTAATGGGTAAGAGCTGTTTAGCTGATAGATATTCACTTCTGAATGGTACATGAACTTCAGCCCTTTTTCACCGAACCCATCAGTAGAAGACAAGTTATAGACTGATAGCTACCCTTACTAAGTGATCAGAATTTCATGGCTCTGCATGATTTACTTTCTTTCAAACCAACCACGTTCTGATATTCATCTTTCCCTTGTTTCCTGCAGCTTATTTTTACAGTAGTAACAAATATGAATTATGACAGATAAAGGTGGATTCATATTGTAACTTGTCTGTGAATTATTTCTTTATTTTATTGCCAAAATGACAGCTCTTCCATCCCAGCTCCCTTACACAACAAAAGTTTAGACACCCAAGAGTGGAATTTTGATTCCATGTGACTGATGAGCACAATTTCAATTAAAATTGGAGTAGGACTGGGGGATGCTTATTTATCAAAAACATTCAGCTATGGGTCTACTAAAATGATTCACGAATTTGTGTTAACTTTACACTTTTGACTGAATTGAAAAAAATCAAAACATTTTGATAACAAACTAACATGTTTCATTTCTACTAGACTTGCATTTCAGAAAAGATCTAGATTCACAACATGGCTGGAGTGGGTGAGGGGAAAAGATGGTGCTGCCATACTTAGAAGATTTAGCCAAATGGCTCACATGGGATGAGACACATTGGTTCAATTTTCCTCTGTGCCTAATTCTGTGACTTTGAGTCACCTCCATCCAGGAAAGAACTCTAGCCAGCAGTCTACAAGATATTCTGGTGTGCAGCTTTCTCAATCTCTCCTGTTGAAGCTATTCTACTGTTTATAAAATACTTGAGTGCAGAGAGAGAGACACACACTATTGGCTGCAGTTAGGAGACCCGCCTTTTTCTCTTTTGCTTATTTGGATTTATTGAGATTAGGTCATTAGGAGTTTTTGAAAAATCACAGTCTTGTTCCTTAAATAAATATTTGGTTATTTATTTTGATAAGAAGCTAGGATTCTTGGAATCAAACACAGTGAAAGATACACAGATTTTTAGTAGATGTATCAATTGCAGTGATGTTATAATTTTTCAAGATGTAGAAATGTATACACAGGGAAGAACTATGAAGATACATCCACAGAGGGGAAAAGTCCCCAGACCAGGTGCAGCTGGCCTGTGTCAGCTGACTCAGGTGCACAGACTAAATATCACTGTGTTAGCTATCCAAGCGTAGGCTGGAGCCTGAGCTCTGGGATTCTCCAAGGGAAAAAGTTCCAAGAGGCCAGGCTCCAGTCTGAGCCCAAATGTCTTCACAGCAATATTTTAGCTTTGGTGCTTAAGTCTGAACCAGCTGACTTGACCAGCCACAGGTTTTTTATTCCTGTACCCTAACTGCCACAGCTTACCTAAAACACAGCATACTTCTACGTATACAGAAAACACAACAAACAGTTGTTTCATATATCAATTTATGATCTATTAATTTGGTTATTTATTGCAATTTCTCTTGCGCATTATAACATCATCAACTAGGAATTCTGGTTGCAAAGATAATCTCCCTAAGCAGCTCTCACATCACGTGATTTGACCTGAGCTAATAAGGAAACCTTAAGAAGTTGCTCTAGTCTGATTTTATGCAACATGTAAATCTCAGAAATGTAAAACACTTGCTGGACCCAGAAATCACGATTCAAAATTCTCTTTAACTGATGGACTAAATAAACGTCAAACAAAAACCTGTAGGGGAAAAGGGATAGTTTTAGAACAATAATAACTACAAAAATAACTACTATACCAAACTATGTTAGTTTTAGTTTCAAATTTTTATTTTTTTGCTTTAGGCTTTGCACTAAAGAATGCAGACATGGTTTTCATTCCAGTCTTGTCAACTTTGGCTAGAGCTTTCTGAGCGGCAGACATCTTGCTTGTTGTCTGTTGATGAAATGCATTAAAAAAAGGAAAAAAATATTAGTGAGCAAATCTAGAGGAGGAAATGCTAATCTACAAACTCATACATACTGAAATCAAGTAAAGGTTTCCTCAATTTCTCGGTATACAGCAGGGAAAGAAGATGTTGGAGAAAACAATGAAAAAACTTTACAACATGAATTTCAGATTTTTCAATAAAAAATAATTGTCATGAATTGTTTGACCTCAGAGACAGAATCTGTTAAAAGGTCAAGGAAACAATATCTCTCTTCCTCTTCTAGAATGAGGTATCCGAACTAAAATGCTTACTTTGGAATAATACTAGAGAGTGCATTAACAGGAATAATGCATGCAATATAACAGATGCATACTGCAACCTGTGATTTAATCTTATGATTATGTTGTCAATAGGCTGAATTACAACCACGCATTATAAATGATGAATAATTCACACTGATTTACTATCAAAGTCTTTCAGAGAGTGAAATAAAGGGAAAAAAGAGGAAAGGACACCAACAGTGAAAGAGGTAACCAAGATTTGAAGCTTGTTGATTCCACTAGAAAAGCTTCCTAGAGACTGTTACACCAAAATCACATTCTGTGTGTCACATATTATAGAGCTGATCTTTTTCCTGTCTTACATTTTAAAATGTTGTGCTTCACATCTCTAGCCATTTCCCCTATTTGCACTGACCTTTCTTTATGATCATCCTTCTACCGTAGGACTTCACAATTTCCCTAAATTTGGGCTCAGTTATGATGTTATAAACAGGATAACGATATGCAACCAACAGTAAGATTATCTGTATTACTTGTAGTGCAAACAAAAACACTGCCAAAGGATTTTAAAAGTGCAATACACTGAACAGAACCCATGAGCCAAATTCATCTTTCCCAGATGGTCTTAACTACATATTTTGTTATTTCAGAAATAAATCAAATGCAATATTAAAGCTTTCTTCAGTCTTTTTTGTATATTTGTTCCAAGATTCAAAAACATTGTATGGGAGTGAGAAAAATGGAGCTTCAGAGTCATTTATCATGTGAATTTAGGGGTTCTCCTGTACCTTCCTTTATGGCTGTGAAATGCCCCAGGGAATGACAAAATGGCAGACTTCATTGGACTTCCCAGAAAACTGATACTGAAGCTGGTAAGTTAGGTGGCTTGGTATTGATTTATTTTATTAACCCATACAAACAAGTTCATCATGCTATACTTGTGGGCAAATTAAGACCTGTTTGAAAATGTCTGGTAATTTAAGCCAATGTTGCCTCCCATGCCCCCATTTTAAAATAATATCATAGCAAACTAATTGTGCTACCAGCTTCCCTAATAGCAATAATCTTCTTCTTCCTCCTCCTTTACATTGCTATAGTAGCTTTCATCCAAGGGTCTCACTAAGTCGCAAAACGTTAATAAAGTTGCTGTCTAATCCCACCACTAAAACAGTCACCTTTGCAGTTATTTAGCATTGCACTGGAATACTACACAATAGGATGGGAAATTAAGACTATCATGTTAAATGGGAACTGTAGGTAGAGTTTAAAGAGACAGAATGCAATTTCTTTCACTAAAATTTTTCCAGGACTCTGGAATCAATCCTTCTATGAAAAATGCCATGAAAAATGGTGATAATAAATGGTCACAACCTTCACTTTAAGACTGTTAATTAATTCAAACAATTTTTATCAATCTTATTCACAAACAATTATGTGTATCAAAAGAATATTGACTGCTTTAGAAGACTTGGCACCATGAATATAGCAAGGGGATAGAATACCAGGAAGAGTAAAAGGAGAGCATTAACATGAGAGCAAATGAATATAAACTGACCAAGTATAAATTAGCAGGTGGTTTCTAACCATCAGAGAAGTAAGGTTGAGAACAGCCTTCCAATAGGAGTTTGGAAACAAGGAACCTATCTAGTTTCAAGATAGAGGAAAGTTTATGAACAGGACAGAGTTGTCTAAGGGTACATCTACAGCGCATAGCTATTTTGGGATATCAGAGGTATCCCTAAATAGCTACTCCATGTCTACACAAACTGCCTGTTATTTCAAAATATTTTTTGAAATAACAGGCGTGCCATTTCCCCATCCCGGGAAACCTCGTTGCACAAGGGATGGCTTGAAATAGTGCGTTATTTCAAAATCTGGCACTGTGTAGACACACTTCAAAATAAGCTATTTTGAAATAGTATTGAAATAAGATACGCAAATTGCATATCTTATTTTGAGTTTAGGGTGCTGTGTAGAGGCATCCTTAGATAGTAGGAAACTAGACTTAATGACCCAGGAAGTCATTTTCAGTCTTGGTTCCTATCAAGGTAAATCTACCTACAATACAGTGAACTAATTTTTATTTAAAACATGTTGAATGTACTTGCCAAAAACATCCATTTTATATTTGCTTTTCTGATTAAGAGGAACACTGCAAAAGGGGGCATCCTGTATATCTGTTTGAGCAGTATTAAAACCTGCTTTAACAAAATGTGTACATGCATACATATCAAGCACATAATGTACCTTTTTGTTCTTGAGATCACCACTGTTAAACTTAGTATAGTCTTCTTCCGCTTCTACAGGTGCATCTGAGAATTTCCTTTTCTGAAATGTTAGAGCGATGAAGTTGCTCTGTCAACCACTACTGTGATGTACACACATTGAATGTTAAAGCTCAAAAGGCCCTTGGGCCGTCTGGTGAAAGCTCAGCACAGAAATGGCACAGGTAACCAAACAAAGAATATGCAGTAGTACTGGTATGTCTCTTTTTATAAACACTGTCCTCAAGAAACAGGAGGATAAATAAGATCTCTTCAATATACAGAAGTTTGGTTAGTTTTGTATGAAACATGTTTTCTTCTCTTTTTGCCCACAGAGGACTGATTTATAGAATCACTTATATATACATTTCAATTTCTATCATTTGCATTTAGTTTTTAATTCAGAGATTGTTTGATGCATCTTTATGGATTCATGCTGGAAAGCATTATCTACTGGCTAATGGACAGGACAAAATTCAGGTCCTCAGTTTCTTGGGGCAGAAAAGCACCAAACAATCCGCTGCTAGAAACATTTGTTTGTTGCATAGAACCTCTCTTGGGATCACTACTTTCCACAATCTGGTAACATTTATATGTTGACTTGTTTGATATACATTGACTTGGTTTTGCTCAATGCTCTCTAATTTTAGTTCAATGACAATCTAAGAGACTAGCTGTGCAAGTTACTGCCCTGGAGGAATTACTTATAATGCAGCAATTGCAGAATTCCCCCTGGATTAAAGTTGCTAGCTATCCTTAACTACTCCTGAAGTCATTGGCACTCCAAGGAGATCAGCACTTCGCATGATCAGACCTCAGGAGTGCATGTTTCATTCCTTAAACATGATATTTCACAAAATGCAGAGAGCTTTTTTTTTTAATTTTAAGAGACAACTACCATTGTCTTAATATCTTATGAAATCTGAGCTGTGGCCTTTCTAGTTTCTGTTCCAGAGCGAGTGACATTACAAGTAACTTGAATGGGAATCATTCCATTTTAAAGCCCTATTTTTCAGTGTATTTTTGGCACTTGTGATGCTCTCAATCTGGCACAAAAACCAGGTTTGCATTGTAGATTTCTTGGGCCCTTTGAACCAGTCTTTTTTAGTTCAATCCAAGTTGGAGCAGGCCCTTTGGGAGGTAGTATGCTTAAATATTGCACTATAAGAACATTTTAAAATGACAGCCTAACAAAAAATGATGATGTCCCTCTTCTGGAATCACCATGTTTTTGACTTTCAGTCAAATATTTGCAGTTCAGCTTTAGTATTTTGTGTGGTTTTGTATTATGAACTGTCAGCAGCACCAACTTCCTATCCTGAGGGGATATAGTAATTAAAATTCAAAACTGGTGGTTACAATTAGCGGGAGGGTTGGATATGTCACACTTCTCACTAAAACATGAAGAGTTCAGACTTCCCCAATAAGTCTTGTAATAGAAAAATAAGCTTTGTAATATCCCTCAGATAGTAGACATTTGCAGCTAATCTCTAAGGCTATGTCTAGACTGCAGGCTTCTTTCGAAAGAGCCTCTTTCGAAAGATCGCGTCTAGACTGCAGGCGGATCTTTCGAAAGAGAAATCCGCTTTTTCGAAAGAGAGCACCCAGCGAGTCTGGATGCTCTCTTTCGAAGACGGCCTCTTTACATTGAAGAACGCCTTCTTTCGAAAGAGGAACTTTCGAAAGAAGGCGTTCTTCCTCGTAAATTGAGGTTTACCGCAATCGAAAGAAAAGCCGCGTTCTTTCGAAATAATTTCGAAAGAACGCGGCTTGAGTCTGGAAACCCCTGAGTCTGGATACGGCCTTAGGCTCCTGTTTCCCTCTCCATTCAGAAATTTATTTTAGATTATTTAAACAGCAATTACTTTGAACTAAGAAGAGATATACATCAGACCTGTCTTGATTTGTAGGAACCACACATTTTGTCCTTAAAACACCTTGCTTTCACATAACAGAAAATTTAAAATAAGCTAAAACAAAACATTTAAAGCATGTCAGATTTTATCTAATTTATGCTTTGGTCCTCTGAAGCAGTGAGATAATACATATCTTTTTAGGGTCTGAACCCTATATTTTAGGGCATTTTAGATCTGAACTTACAAAGATTCTTCACATAGGTGTTCAACACATTGTGAGCAGCCATATGGTGGAAATCAATGGGACTGTAGATATTTCATAATCATACTATTGAAAAAAATTCTAAAAATGGCTTGAAATTCACATTGCTAATAACTTTTAGAAGTCACCTTTTAAAAAAACAGAGTCTCAGAACTATCCAAACTGCATAATAGACATTTATACACGCTGTACAATCCACATCACAAGAGTGATCAATACAGTTGGTGTAACACCTAATGAATACTGTATCATTTGGCTCAAGACAGAATCAAAGGAACAAATTGTGGCCACAATTACTTCCACATAGTTACAGAGGTATAACTAAAAATAGAAAAATATTTGGCAACATTTTTGTGATCTGCCTCCCATTTCTGAACAGTGCTACTAAAATGGAGGTTTGCACCTTGCTATTTTTAATGCTTTGTCCAGTCTAATTTTAACTGCCTTAAACATTTGAAAGAGACTAATGTACAACATACCAGATGTCTATCAAGAAGTTTTATTGGTACTCTATCTTAAAATGTTTCCTACGTTAATATTTTCCTACCTTTAGAGGGGGGTCTGCTTCTGGACTTGTAACTTCTGGAAGCCTTCAAAATAAAAGTTGTTAAGTTACAGTTTTTACATAGAAACAAATTAATATATTGGGTTAAAACTTTTGACTATGTTAACTTCAAACTATGTTCTTCTCCCACAAAGGCGGCACCAATGCTAATCACATCAGTCATTCTCAAAATATTTTCCACTTAATTTGATATTACTTTTATGACACACTAGTGATGTGGGCCAAGTTTTTGAAAGAAGTAGCTAGTGGGGTGCCTGTTAGGTTTAATCATCTTAGGTGACAAAATAGTGCTTGAGTTTCTGAAAGTGCTGAGCAAACACACTGAAAATCGGGTCCCTGTCAAGTGTGTCTCAAGTTGGACACCCAAAACGAAGGAAAATCCAAATCAATAGTAACTTCTGAAAAGCTTTGCACTGATCTATGAAAGGATATTTTATGGACAATTTACATTTCTGAAGGGTAAATTCCTACACAGGACCATCCTTAGGTTTTATGAGGCTCTAAGAAGAATTATTAAACTGGTACCCCTATGCATGGTGTCAGGCTGGGGGAAAAGGGAAAGATGAGTTTTTAGAGACGTGATTTTATAAACTTCAGCAACACACTAATGAAATATTTTAAAAGAAATTGTAAAGTAAGTTCCTGTTGACTAACACAGTAAATTCAGAAAATGCTTGTTAAATGCCTTCATTACCACTTGAATGGCTCTTTCACAGGTTCATTGTTCTCTTAACAGGTCTGGCAGGCTTTTTTTCTTTTAACTAGGTCCTCTCTGGAGGAAGCAGAGCCACAGAACAGGCATAGAAGGAGGTGGGTAGATGGACATAAATACCCCAAATTTTGGGGTGCCATACGTAGCTGCATATTCTGGAGATGGGTAAGGACAGTCCTTTTCCTACAGGATGAACATCCCTGGTCTGGCACCCTCGGGACTAGGGAATTTGTCAGACCAGGGGAAGTCAATGATGGTCCCTCTACTGCTGATGTCTGTGGGCCTCTGCTCTGACAGCAGAAGAGGGGCCGGCATTGATGCAGCAGGAGCAGGGAGGTGGGGTGCGTTCAGAGGATGAGGCAGGGCAGCCGTGAAGTCCTGTGGGTGGGTCCAGGAGAGCAGCCCCGCAGCTGGTGGTGGAGCTACCTGGCCATCAGGCTGAGCTCCTGCCCCTGCAGCACTGTGCTCCTGGCCAGGGAGCTATACAGCTACCCTGCGCCTTTTCCCTTGAGTGTCCCCCTCCCCCAATCCTTGCTCCTCTCCCTCCATGAGTTTGAACACTGCAAATCAGAATCTTTGGGAGGGTGGGTAGAACTACTCAGGCGGGGGAGGGCTTCTTCCTGTGAGTGCTCCAGACCTGGAGCACCCATAGATGCTGGCCCATCGTTGTTGCCAGATGAGGGAAGTTCCAGATTATAGAAGTCCAACCTGTGGTATATTTGTAGGCCCTGATCCCACAAAATACTGCCTGTAAACTGCAGATACACAAAACCCAGTGAAGCACCAGGGTATACTACAGTCTTCTTGCAAACAATGAAGCCCAAGATCAGGGTCCTAATCCAGGATTACTTTTTTAATTCATATGACACAATATAGGTTAGATTTTAAATTAACCTCCAGGAAGACTGGTGAGAAATCTGATGAGGTTCAACAAGGACGAGTGCAGAGTCCTGCACATGGGATGGAAGAATTCCAAACATTGTTACACGCTGGGGACCGACTGGCTAAGTAGCAGTTCAGCAGAAAAGGACTTGGGGATTACAGTGGATGAGAATCTGGATATGAGTCAGTGTGCACTGGTAGCCAAGAAGATGAAGGGAATATTAGGAGGAGCATTGCCAGCAGATCTAAAGGGAAGTGATTATTCCCCTTTATTCGGCTCTGATGAGGCCACATCTGGAGTATTGCATTCAGTTCTGGACACCCCCCACCCCTCCACTATAGAAAGGATGCATTGGAGAGGGTCCAGCGGAGGGCAACCAAAATGATTAGGGGGCTGGAGCACATGATCTACGAGGAGAGGCTGAGGGATTTGGGCTTATTTAGCCTGCGGAAGAGAGGAGTGAGGGGGCCTGAAGGGAGGTTCCAAAGAGGATGGAGAAAGGCTGTTCTCAGTAGTGACGGATGGCAGTACAAGGAGCAATGGTCTCAAGTTACAGTGGGAGAGGTCTAGGTTGGATATTAGGAAAAACTATTTCACTAAAAGGGTGGTAAAGCACTGGAATGGGTTACCTAGGGAGGTGTTGGAATCTTCATCCCTAGAGGTTTTTAAATCACGACTTGACAAAGCACTGGCTGGGATGATTTAGTTAGGGCTGGTCCTTCTTTGGGTAAGGAGCTGGACTCAATGACCTCCTGAGGTATCCAGCCCTATGATGCTATGACTCTATGATTAATAGAGCACTGCAGTGGAACCCAGGAGTTCTGGGTCCTATTCCTGGCATTGCAACTAGCTTGCTGGATGACTTAATCTCTCTGTGTCTTCTCTATAAAATGAGGATAATGACATCAACCTTTGTAAAGGATTTTGAGATGTCTGGATGAAAAGTGCTAAAAAAGAGACAGGTATTATTTATACTCGCAAAACATGCTGTTTACATTAACAATTACAATCTAGGCTTAATAAAGTGAGCTCCACTCCTCCTCCTAAGAATGGCCACACTACACTAATGGTCAGACCAATGGTCCATCTAGCACAGAATTCTGTTTTTCAACAGTGGCCAGTGACAGAATAGGGCAATTATTGAGTGATCCATCTCCTGTCATCCAGTACTTACATCTGTTAGAGGTTATGGGGCACCCAGAGCATAGGGAGGTATCCTTGACCATCTTGATGAATAACTATTGATGAATCTATCCCCCATTCTTTTATGAACTTGGTTGTAAGCTTCTGCATTCACAAAATCACATGGCAAACAATCCTGAAGATTGGCCTTGCATTGTGTGAAGAAGTATTTCCTTTTGTTTGTTTTATACCTGCAGCCTATTCGTTTAATTGGATGATCCTGGGTTCTTATATAATGTGAAGGGGCAAATAACACTTCTTCACTCTCTTCACACCGTTCATGATTAAACAGATTTTTATCATATCTCCCTTGGTCCCCTTATCTTCTCTTCTAAGCTGAACAGCCCCAGCCTTTTTTAAAATCTCTTCCATATGCCTCATCAGTTTTATTACCCTTCCCTGTACTTTTTTTTTCCAATTCTGATACTTTACCTGAGATAGAACGACCAGAACAGAATACAGTATAAATCCATGGTACACCCATACCTTGAATATAGTGGCATTATATTTTCTGTCTGATTTTCTGTCCCTTTCATAACACTGTTAGCTTTCTGAACTATCCATGATGACTCCCAAAATCTCTTTCTTGAGTAGTGACAGCTAATTTAGAGCCTATAATTTTGTATCTATAGTTGGGATTGTTTTCCAACATGTATTATTTTGCACTTATCACTGAATTTCATTTGCTATTTTGTTGCCCAAGCATCCAGTTTTGTGGGATCCCTTTGTAACTTTTCTCAGACAGCTTTGAACTTAATATCTTGCAGACAATACAAAATTACTTAAATTTTGCCATATACTGTTTACCATTTTCCTGATCACTTATGAATATGCTGAACTGCTCTGATGCAAGCACAGATTCATCTCACCATTGACCTACTCTTTGTTTCTTATCTTTTCACCATTACTGATCCATGGAAGAACTTTCCTCTTATCACATGACTGAAAAACCTTTGGTGAGGGATCTTGTCATAGGCTTTCTGAAAGCCCAAGTACATTATATTCAACCGTGTCCACATCTGTTGATATCTTCAAAGAATTCTAATAAGCATGACTTCTCTTTGCAAAAGTTGTTTTGATTCTTTCCTAATATATTATGTTCTTCACTATAGTTGGCACTGAAGTTAGCAATTACAGGCAAATAAGCCTAATATAGCTTCTGGGGCTTTAAAACAAAATCAGTATTACATTAGCTGTCCTCCAGGCTTCTGGTACAGGGCCTGAGTTAAGTGATAGGTTATATACCATCTTTGGTTCATTCAGAGCTCTTGCATGAATACCATTTGGTCTTGTGACTTATTACTGTTTAATTTATCAATTTGTTCCAGAACTTCCTCTACTGACACCTCAATGTGGAACAATTCCTAGGATCTGTCACCTGAAAAGAATGGCTTAGGTGAGCACATCTACAGCAATGAAGACTGATGCTTCTTTGTTATCACTTCTCTGCTCTGTTATCACCATGATAATTCAATGGCTCCCCAGTTGTTTGGAAAGCTTCCTGCTTCAGATGTATTTTAAAAAAATGTTGCTGTTAGTTTTTGTGTCTTTTGTGAATTGCTTTTCAAAATAGTTATTGGCTTCTATGCTTTTACATTTGATTTGCCAGAGTTCATGTTCCTTTCTATTTTCTTGGTAGGATTTGACTTCCTCCTCCAATCCAATAAGAGACAAATAAAATATATCATTTACTGTAACTTGATGGTCAAAGTTACAGTATTCAATAGACAAGGTTGTTTGCAGAAAAATGTGTCTCCTATAAAGCTAAGAAATAATTAAAACAATACTTACTGTAAGTACTTGGATAATGCTGCACTCAGACCTTCAGGAATATATTCTGATATTAAGCCATGGGCATATCGTATATAGTCCTCTGAAAGTTTAAAAAAAGTGATTTGGTGGGATAAGAAAGAGTGCATGCATCCATGTTATTCAGTCACAGGACTGCTTTCCAATCCATGCCCTTGTATGTCAGAATCATTCACGATGATGAGCTAATGCTAGAAACTACTAACAGACATGTCATGAAGTTTCTCTTTGTTGAGCAGCTTACGTTATATGACACTTATAAGTTTAATTAAAAAGCAAGGATTTTCTATGCTTACTTTGTCAGCAGAGACGTTATTAATCTCTGTGGCATGTACTTTACAAAACCTGTTTGCTTTCTGAGAGCACTAAATATAATGTATTTTTTCTGCACAATTAATTTAAAAAAACGCTGCAGAAGTAAAAAGCTGACTCAACAAAATGTATAATCATTAATTTTAAAGCATCTGGATCCTACAAGTATTTGGCAAGAGTTTCAGTACTAAAATATATTTTTGGCCTCAACTGAAAACAATTACATGAGACAATGAGTCTATTTCAAAGCCTTGTACTTTACGTCAGTATTTTATGAAAAATGGCAAGGCATATCTAAACATCACTGGCAAGACAGGATAATTATCTGTGGAAATATGAACTACTAGAAGCTGGTTTTGGGACAGGGAACTCTTGCTGTAAAAGTTTTTTTGGAAATCAAACCTTTGGCAGCATGAAGTCCTAAAACAAATCTTTTTCCTTTCCCTTCCCCACAAATGCCTGGAAAACAAGACTTAGATATTGCAAACTCTATGTGAATAATTTGGTGTTAATGAGGCTATTAGAGAGTAACTTTACTCATAAGCATAAATGTTTGAACAAGCAGATCCTAAGCAAATACCTTGCCACTTAATTAGCTTAAAAACACTTCTCACCCCACCACATGCTATATGGAAAAATACGGTAAAACAGCCCCCAGAATAGCAAAGATGTATTTCTCCTGTGTCGGAGATAGTTTGCCAAATATGAAGTTTTGTAAAAGCCCAAAGCAAACTAGCACTAAAACAGGTAAAATTAATAAACTGGCTGCAGCATGCACATTTTAGCTGAACAGGCACAAATTTCCTGTGTTCTTTACAACAACAACAAAAAATGAATTTATTTCTCAAGCATTTCTTCCTCCTTTAGCCCCATTTGCAATCGAACACCATAAAGTAGTAGTCGAGATCCAATATGATGATTCTGAACTTCACCCTTAAAACCAATCTATATCTAAATAAAAGTGTTTTTGTCATTTTGCTGTTCTTTCATGGCACTGAATTATAATGTCAAGTCAGTTACTACAGCAATACTCTTTTGTCAGACTCGGATATGAGCCTGCTTAACCCCTGCTCTCCAGAAATCTTTATTGAATACCTTATCTATTTAAAAATCCAGTACATTGTTTTTCAAGAAGTGCCTGCTGCCTTTCTAACCCATAGTCTGACACGGGGGTGGTCAATAATTTTTGCAGGGGGGCCACTTCACGAATTTTGGCAGTGGTCGCAGGCCGCCTCTGAAGGGGCAGGGCCTTGGGCGGAGAGAGGCGGAGCCTCAGGCAGAAAGGGGTGGGGCAGAAAGGGGCCTCAGGCAGAAAGGGGCTGTTCCCACTAGGCACAGCCAGTCCCGGATGGGGGGAAATCAGGGCCTAGAGATGGGGAAGCATACAAAGTTTCTCGCCTCCCTCCCCTGCCTTGCCGGGGTGTGCGGCACCTAGAGGGAACCACCAGCCATTTTAAACAGCTAGCGGTTCCCTCAGGGGCCATGTAATCCTGGCGAAGGGGGAGGAGAGTGGAAACCTCGCACTCTCCCCTTGCCCCGTTCCCAGATCTCAATTGGCCTGGGGCGAGAGCAGCGGCTAGTCCAGCTATGATAAAATATTTAGATCCTAAACACGAATCCTTCCTTGTTTCCCGTGTACACATTTTCCCATTGTATGCCCTACAACATTTGTGTCTTTCCACACCAAGGCTATGTCTAGACTTCAGGCTTCTTTCGAAAGAGGCTCTTTCGAAAGCATCTTTCGAAAGAGCCTCTTTCGAAAGAGAGCGTCTAGGCTGCACGGAGAAATTTCGAAAAAGTGGCTTGCTTTTTCGAAAGAAAGCATCCAGTGAGTCTGGATGCTCTCTTTCGAAGACGCCCTATTTACATTGAAGAACGCCTTCTTTCGAAAGAGGAACTTTCGAAAGAAGGCGTTCTTCCTCGTAAATTGAGGTTTACCGCCATCGAAAGAAAAGCCGCGTTCTTTCGAATTAATTTCGAAAGAACGCGGCTTGAGTCTGGACGCAGGGGAAGTATTTTCGAAAAAAGACTACTTTTTTCGAAAAAACCCCTGAGTCTGGACACAGCCCTACAGATGCCACTTGGGCTACGTCTAGACTACAAGC